CATTGGAGTCTCCAACGTAACCATCGACGGATTAAGAGGTAACCTTAAAACTTATGAATCTACAATTCTAACCCCGTCTTTGGATGAACAAAAGAATAAAGGGATAGCGCTCAAAGCAACCAAGGAAATGGTTGAAGAGGAATCAAGTGATGAAGACAACGAGTTTGACCTCATCATCAAGAAATTCCACAAATTTATGAAGAAAGAGCACGAGCGCAAAGGAAAGAAGCACGATGATTCCCCGAAGTGCTATGGCTGTGGCGAGATTGGCCACATCAAACCGAGATGTCCAAAAGCCAAGGACGCCAAGGACAAACATGGGCTCAAGAAGCAACGAGCATACATCTCTTGGGGAGGAGACTCCGGCGATGAGTCAAGCGAGCAAGAGGAAGACGAGGAAACAAACCTTTGTCTCATAGCTCAAGAAGAAGAGGAGTCATCCAACGACAGAAACCAAGAGGTATGTATTTCTTCTACCGATTCTTATTCTCTTAGAGAAATGCAAGAAGCTCTCCAAGAGCTTTATGACGAGTTTGTTAGCGCTTCTAAAACCAACAAAGCTTTAAAGAAATGTTTTTCTAATCTTGAAACTGAGTTTGAAAAACTTCAAAAGGAAAACAAAAAAACTAAAAGAGGAAAATAAATTTTATGGTAAAAGAAGCGCCGACAAACCCGAAAGCTCTACAAAACATTGTGACTCTTGCATAGCTTTGAAAGAACAAGTTACTGAGTTAGAAAACACGGTGAAGAAATTTAATAAACCACATAAAAATCTTAATCTCGTTTTTGATTCTATGCAATACACTAAACAAGGAATAGGCTTTGGGAAAATAGATGAACCTAAAAATAAAGAAAAAGTTGAGCACAACCGTAAATCACCTAGAGCTCAACCTAAGAAAGATAAAAATAAAAATATTAGACAACCTAGACAAAAGGTTAGTCATGAACATGAGCATTCTAGGCAACCTAGGAGGAATTATCAAAATGATTTTATGCACAGAAATGACTTTTCAAATAGACAAAGTAATGCTAGGACACCTAAAAGAGAGAATTTTCAAAAACCAATATTTTCTCAAAATAGGATGAATATGGTTAGGCCCCCTAGCAACTATTATCAACCTAGGCACATGTTCAACCCAAACGTAGTATGCCACTACTGCAATAGGGTAGGACATATAGCTCCCGTGTGTTTCACCAGACATAGGCACTTCACCTACAATGAAACACCTAACGTATTTGGTGCTAATGAAAAGAAATCCTTTGGAAAAGGATATTCGGATCATAAACAATCTCCACAGGACAATGCACAAAAGAAACCTTATTATTTCTTCTACTTTGACGAAAAGAAGAATGTCCACATTTCGTTACCAGAACCGACACAAATCACACCGAGATATCGGCACTCCGTTCAGGTAGACTGGAACCCGCCAACCACGAGATCATGGGTTGGCCAAGGTAACTCCTAAATGATCATCTAATCGTGTGTGTTTGTGCGCGTTAGGAAACGAATTTTGGGTGTGTGTGTGTGCAATAAAGGTTAACTTACCCCCAAGGACCCATAGACATACTTTGGGTACCAAAGTGTTGTTTTTTTTTTTGCAGGTACGTATCAAAGTGAGGAACTCAGGGGGAACCAGCGATGGGTGGTTTATCCCATCGCTGGGAAGGAAGTATTTTCTAACCAACAGCCCTCTTCCCGTCGATGGGAACTTCTTCCCATCGTTGGGTGTTTGACACTTTTTTTTTTTAAAAAAAATTTTTTAACGGATTTCCAGTAGCTGTCTTCCCATGGATAGGAGAACCTTACCATCGCTGGGAAGCCTATTTTAGTTCAAAAATCATAGCCGTTGGGCACCTCATTCAATGCCTAACAGCCATACTTTTAACACCAAGGGCCCAAATTCTCTTTTCCTATAAATATTAACCATCCTTGATCTTTTTTTAACACACAACTCACATTCCTCTTGCATACTTTAAGCCTCTACTCACTTTCTAAACGCTTCAACAATGGCTAGAGGAAAGTCAAGGACCAAAACCGAGACATCAAAGAAGAAGGCCAACACCGGCGCCACGACATCTTCTTTATTTTCTCCTTATTAAATATGATTGTGTTTTTATCCGTTGTATTCTGCATTTCCCTTTTAAATGAATAAAAGTTTACTTTTAATTATTTTTGTTAATGTCAAAAGGGGGAAGATATAAAGGTTATGCATAGATTGAGGGGGAACTATTTCTAAATTGCATTTATTAAGGGGGAAGATTTTTTAAGTCTCAAATCAATTCTCCTATGCATAACCCCGTCTCGTTTGCCATTATCAAAAAGGGGGAAATTGTTGAAACACGGGTTTATCACGTTTTCGTACTAAAGCCGCGTTCGTTGTTATGACAGGTTTTGATAATGCCAAACCGCCGTGAACGAGACAAGTCATTGAATATACAAGGTTTTGATAATGCCAAACCGACGTGAACGAGACAAGTCATTGAATATACAAGGCGAGAACCAAAGATGAGAACAAGAGCCAAACGAAGACCAAGAACGAAGACCTTAGTCTTAGCAACGTTGAGTCGGTCTTTATTGTGATCAAGACCGACCCAATCTTTACACCTTGGCTCTTTAGGCTAAAATTCTTTTCAATGCATTTCATACATCATAAAAATGTTTTTCAAAGATGTATAAAACATTAAAAACACTTGGTGTTCGCCCAAACCAAAAACCAAGCCATCCGGCGTTCGGGTTTCAGAAACCGGCATTCGGCATTCGGTTTTCGGCGTTGGTTTTTGGCGTCCGAACCAACCAATTGGTTTTCAATTTTTTATGATTGGTTTTTACTTGTGGGTACATTTAAATAGTTTTCCATCAAAAACATTTCAAAAACCACCTTTCGTTTTTTGTCTTTTGATAAAAACAATGCGAAACGGCATAAACTTGGCTAGCCGTGGTTTTTACTTAAATGAAGTGTTTTTCGAGTCTTTTTGTGTGGGAATTGTTTTTGAATGAATTTAAATGGTTCTCCAATCAAAACATCATGAAAACCACCTTTCGGTTTTGTCTTTTGGTGAAAACCACCCGTGTACCGTGTTGACTTGGTCAACCGTGGTTTTTACCTTAACGACGTGGTTTTCAACTTACAAAGCATGTTTTGACATCAAAATACATTAAATAAGTGTTTTATATACTTAGTTTTTATTTTGGAGAACTTTGCATTTTTCGGTCGGGTTTCAGCGCCGGTCAGCTAGGCCAAGGTTCTGGGCTAGCCATCTACCCAACGATGGTAGATTTCACCCATGCATGGGTAAGTGATCCCGGGATTCCAGAATCATGCCACCCAGCGATGGGAAGATCTTCCCATCGATGGGTAAGCAGTCCCTCAACGAAACTGATTTCCAGAACCATGCCAAACAGCGATGGGAAGTTCTACCCATCGCTGTTAAAGTCTTGGTGCAACATTACCACAAGGCAGAATGCCCTTACCCAGCGATGGGAAGCTTTACCCATCGATGGGAACCCAGCGATGGGAAGGCTTAACCATCGATGGTTAGGCATGACCGTTGCGAGTCATTTAAGGCTGATTCTTTCCTTATTTGAAAGTCAACCTCCCACTCAGCGATGGGAAGCATCTACCCATCGATGGGTAGGTAACCGTTGGCTTCAAAACTAAAGGAAAATTGGCTTACCAGCGATGGGTAAGTTCCATACATCGCTGGGAAGCCAATATTCTGCAGATCCCAAATCTTTTCAATCCCATAAATCAAGCCAATCACCCCTTTAATGTATTGGTCCGTTGGAGCCTATTTTGGCACTATAAAAAGGGGTGTTTGGGTCTGCTTTTCTCATCAATTCACTTCACTTTGTTCATATTATCATTGCATCCAAACAACATTATTTTCCATAGCTTTCTAGAGCTAATTTGTGAAGTTTGAGTGTTTCTTGAGCGTATATAGTTTACTCAACATCTACTCTTAAAGAGAGTCTTGTTCTTGAGTGTTCTTAGTGTTGTAAACACGTTTAGGGAAGCTTGTTTCCCTTGGTTGTACGAAGGAAAGGTATTTTCCTTCGGGTTGAAGTCTTGGAGTGCGGTATCTCCGAGCATGTGTAATGAGGCTCGTGGGACTCGAGTTCTCAGGTTGTAACAGTTTGTTAAGCACCCGTAAGCTTAACGGAAGTAGTGTAGCTCGAGAGAATCTCTCGGGAGGCTGGATTAGCCACAAGTTGTGGTGAACCAGGGTAAATCTTGGTGTGCTCCCTTTACTCCTTTTTATTCCGCTCTTTACTTTATCCCTGCGATTTTTATTCCGCGAAAATTTATAAACATTCTCGTGCCTCACTATTCACCCCCCCCCCCTCTAGTGAAGGGCACTTATTCTAACATGGCATTCAAGGCCAACAATCTCCCCCTTTTTGATGTTGACAAATAAGGCTTTCGAATATAATAATCAAATGCACAAGCATATCGTGAAAAGCATATATTGATTTTAAAAACTCCCCCTAAGTTGATGCATGTGATATTTTGACAAAAACTCCCCCTAAATGTATGCATATGAAATCCTAATATTTCTCCCCCTTTTGGCAACATTCAAAAAGGCGGGGTACCAAAAACATGAGTTTCAACACATAGGCATTCAAGTGAATCACAAACATCATCAAACCATAAGCAATCAAAACAAGGGGATTTTCAATCATAAAAGTGCATAAATACGAGTTTTAAACATAAGACATGATAAGGAGTTTTGAAACATAAAACAAAATAATTGTTTTGAAAACATAAATAAGAGAATGTTTGATCATTTTGTCAAATGCCCAACACTTAGCGACGACGTCTAGAAGCACGATCCTCATTTTGCTTTTGGCGATTCTCACGGTCCTCCATAATTTTTCCTCCACTAAAAATCCGATCCGAGAGGTCATCAAGGCTTTCCTGAAGTTTCCTCATCGAGCCACCACGGTCTTGAGGATGAATTTCTTGAACTTCTTGAAAGGATTTTTGGAAGTGGAGGCCATTTGGGAGTGACGATGCAAGAGAGAGGCCGAGGAAGCATGAGACGCCGACTTTGAGCGTTTGACCCGGGGAGCACGAACGGGGATCTCCGTGTTGGTATTGTCTTCGGCTTCGGCTTCGGGTGCTTGAGAAGTGGAAGGCAAGGATGACATAGATCGTCGAGGGCCATACTCCGCTCGTGTCGCCGCATCAAGCTTTAGGAGTTCCTTCTTCATGTAGTATTCCTCTCCGATCTTTACGAGGCCACAATACCCAAGGCACTCCGCATCAAGATAGCGGACGCGGGACGGGCGCATTTCAAGAATTTCCCTCTTGGCAAAGATGTGGGTAAGAAGCATGCCATAGGGTTTGTTTTGGCGACCCGAACTCTCGTACATGTGTTGGATGATGATGGATGGGAGATTGATTTTCTTGTGAGTGAGGAGGAGGTAAAGAAGAGTACACTCATAAATCCCAACTTGTTTATCTTTGTTAAGGACGAGGATGACATTTTCCTTGAGGATTTTGAGAAGAATGAAACGATTTGCGGTCAAGTCTTGGACGTTGGGCCGACGAAGGAAATAGTCCGGGTCCTCAAAGACATGGTCAAGAGCAATATTGTTGAGAACACGTAGGCAAAAATCCGCGTTGAAGTCTTGTGAGTCGGAAATCCACCCCTTTTTGCAATAAGAGGAGACTCCTTGACGCTCTAGGTGGAACCACTCGGAAAGGTTTTGGGTGTTGAATCCGAAGGTTTTGCCAGCAACAACAGCGGTAATGGAAGGGTCTTGCTTATGGTATCTTAATGAGTAATAAAATTGATGAACAAGTTCCGGGTAAACGGGGGCGTGGAGTTGAAGAAAGAAACTCCATCCTTGTTCATGAATGAGTTCAAGAACGGCAACGGGTATGTCATCTTGTTTAAGAGTTCTCCCCTCGATGATATGTGGGTCGGCGTAAGCCTTGAACCCTTCTTGAGCATCGACATGAACGTCGGAGACAATTTCGCTCATTTTGAGAGAAAATTGAGAATGGAAGGATCTTGGGCGAAAAAGTGAGAAATTGATACGAAATACCCGAATTGAAGAGAGTATGTGAAGAAATTGAACTTAATGTTTGAAGAAATTTAGGAATTTGGATGAGGAATTTACCTTAGTTCGAAACACGAGAGAGAGATGCCGAGAGGAATCGCCGGAAGTTGCAGAGCAAAACTGAGGAAATTGGTTCGATTTAGGGTTTTTAATGTCGGTTGACCCGCAGAGACGGTCGGTACCTCGGTACCGTGTGAACGGTACCTTGGTACCGTGTATACGGTACGCCTTACCGTGTCCAGCTACCGTGTAACGTCCAAAACCCAATTCCCTTTGGCGGTATCTGCGTCCAAACGGCATCCTGGTACCGTAGTAAAGGTAGGCTCTACCGTGTGGGCGGTACTAGGTCCCGTCAGGGGTACCGTGCCTCAGCCTTAAGGTTTTGTTTCGACCTCTAGACACGTGTTTTGAGCATTTGGACTTGATCAATATATTTTTATGATGTAATGGGATAATAAGAACCATAAATTTTACTTTAATTCAAGCATTCCCATTTCCCGACAAATATGTAAAAATTGTTTTTCATCAAATGGTTTTGTAAAAATGTCGGCACGTTGTTCAAATGTATTTACATATTCAATTTGAATATCTCCCTTTGAAACATGATCACGTATGAAATGATGTCTTATTTCTATATGTTTAGTTCTAGAATGCAAAATGGGATTTTTGGAAATATTTATTGCACTTGAATTGTCACAAAAAATAGGCACTTTTGAAAATTTTAAGTTAAAGTCACCTAGTGTTTGCATCATCCATAAAATTTGAGCAACACAACTACCCATAGCCACATATTTTGCTTCGGCGGTGGATAGGGCGACGGAGTGTTGTTTCTTTGATGACCAAGACACTAGTGCATGACCTATGAATTGACATAGGTCATGCACAATAGCATTTAGAGGTAATTTACACAATAAATTACCTCTAGAGGTAATTTACTCTGCATAAGGTACAACCCAAACGATAGCATTTAGAGGTAATTTACTCTGCATAAGGTACAACCCAAACGATTTCCCCTGAAATAAAATAAATGTTAAGACTGTTTTAATACTATGCAATTCATAGGAGTATTTTCTCATAGTAACGAACTTCATGTGTTATTTTCATCAGTTTCTCTGCAACACCTCTTTTTATGTGTGTTTGTACTTTTGAACGTCAAACAATTTTTTGAATAACGTAGCAATAGAAGTGTGTTAAATCTTAGCATGTTTGCTTTTGTAATTATAACGCTATTAGGTAATACAGTTTAGGTATTAATTGTACCAATTAATTGTTGAAAACTCAAGCACAATTGAGACTGGATGCCTGGAAAGGATTTTAAATCGAAAATTATTTTTGGAATGTCATTTCCACTGATTTCTTTGACTTTTGTTCTGTTGTAGATAACCAACGAATAAGGATGCATTGTTGTCATGCAAGAGAGGTAATTATCATGACAAACACATTTCTAATGGCAAAAGATGCCACCTTCTTTGATTTCATTTTCAAGATTCGCTCTTCTCGTTTATTAAGATGTGCATGAATCTTTGTCTCCTACTAAAGAATAAAGAAGATTTTCAGAATATTTTCAAGGATAAATTTATAAAGTAAAGTGTATTTACATGTCAATTCCAAAGGGGTTTTAAAAACTTCTTTTATCTATCATATATATAAAAGTAGAATCAAAATTGATTCCTGCCCTGCCCAAATCTAACGATGCAATTTCAATTTGAGATGCTATCGGACGGTCCAATTTCTGGCAATTTCAGATCCTAACCGTCATTTACGGTTTAACTGACTTTTCTCCATCCTCTTCATTTCTGATCACCGTCCTCCCCTTGGATCGGCTATCGTCTTTGAAACTGATTCAATCGTGGCAGATCCACGAAATCATCAAGCACAAATCGCCGGAACCTAATTTTTTCTTACCATTGCGCAGCTCCCTAGCACTGGAATGGAGATGACACAAGGGGGTAACGATGCCGACATGAATGACCGCTCCATCGGGCTAGGGTTTCGGCCCTAACATATCCTACAATTAAATTCTAACAACACGATGCACGATGGAAGGCGCACCACAGGTGCACGACTTCGGGGATCAGGGTAATCCATGTTTGTTTTTTATGATTTACTACGTACTTTTTAATTTGTATGGCAAAATGTTCCATTCTCTTTATCTTTTCATAGATGTAGGGATAATGTCTCAACTTTGGATTCTTGACATACGTTTACAGCTTCATGCTTATTCCCATTGCCACCATTTTAAAGTAGTATTTTCCCTTCTTTTTAATTGATTTTTAAAGTCTGGACATTTATAAAAATCAATGAATTATTTCCGTTGCATTAAAAGCATTGGAAATTTCGTTGATGTCCTGAAGCTTCTTCTTCTTGATGGAAACAAATTTTCGGCCACATTTCGATAGAAATTGGAAAATTGCATCAGTTGTCTAATATGGATCTCAACCTAAGCAGCCTATCTGGTACCATTGCATTAGAGATTAGCAGATGCAAGTTGCTGACATTTGTTTATCTCAGCCGGAACCAGCTATATGGTGAAATCTCGATTGAGATTACAGGCATGAGGAGCTATCTGGTGAAATCCTGATTGAGATTACAGGCATGAGGATATTAAACTACTTGAACCTGTCCAGAAACCACTTAATTGGGAGCATTCCATTGCTAATTACCTCTATGCGGAGTTTAACTTCAGTCGAATTTGCATACAACAATCTGTCTGGAATTTTTCCTCGAACCGTAGTTATTTCAATTACACTTCATTCTTGGGAAACCCAGATCTATGGTTGAGCTGCTTGTCTGTTAAATCGTGTGGCAATCATTAAGGCATGTTCTTTGGAGAAGGCCATTGATGCTTGTGCATGGAAGCTTACTGCATTCCAGCGCTTAGATTTCACTTGTGATGACGTTCTAGATTACCTCNTACCATTGCATCAGAGATTAGCAGATGCAAGTTGCTGACATTTGTTTATCTCAGCCACAACCAACTATATGGTGAAATCTCGATTGAGATTACAGGCATGAGGAGCTATCTGGTGAAATCCTGATTGAGATTACAGGCATGAGGATATTAAACTACTTGAACCTGTCCAGAAACCACTTAATTGGGAGCATTCCATTGCTAATTACCTCTATGCGGGGTTTAACTTCAGTCGAATTTGCATACAACAATCTGTCTGGAATTTTTCCTCGAACCGTAGTTATTTCAATTACACTTCATTCTTGGGAAACCCAGATCTATGGTTGAGCTGCTTGTCTGTTAAATCGTGTGGCAATCATTAAGGCATGTTCTTTGGAGAAGGCCATTGATGCTTGTGCATGGAAGCTTACTGCATTCCAGCGCTTAGATTTCACTTGTGATGACGTTCTAGATTACCTCAAGAAGGACAACTTTATTGGTAAAGGAGGTGCGGGTATAATCTACAACGAACTTATGCCTAATGGTGAACAAGTTGCTGTGAACAGGTTTCCAGCCATGAGCCATGGATTCACATGATCACGGGTTCAATGCAGAATTACAGACTCTTGGGAGGATCTGGCACAGACACATTGTCAAATTATTAGATTTCTGTTCAAACTATGAGACAAATCCTTTGGTTTATGAGTACATGCCAAATGGGATTTAACTGAAATGATCCATGGCAAGAAAGGTGGGCATTCACATTAGGACACAAGGTACAAGATAGCTATGAAAGCTGCAAAGGGACTGATTATCTCCATCACGACTGCTCCCCTTTGACCCTTCATCGTGATGTGAAATCAAACAACAATTTTCTCGACTCAAACTATAAAGCTCATGTTGCTAATTTCGGACTTGCCAAGTTCACGCAAGATTCTGGAACATCCAAGTGCATGTCTCCCATTAAGTGTTTTGTGGTAGAGATGGTCTTAGGCATCTTACATTGCCTCTTTGGGTTTCGCCTGTGCACAATCCGATGCTTATTTGGGTATCATGTGATTTCCAAATCCTTAATTTTGGAGTTAGTTTAATTGGAATTTTGGGTTTGGTTTCTTTTGCATCTATTGCAAAAAAAAGAATATTTGATATTTAGTTTCATGATTTTGTGTTGGAGTACCTTGCTCACATATTGCTACAACTTTATTTTAAAAATTCTTTCTACAGATGATCTTTCTTGGTAAGCGGTCTTTTAAGTTATGGATTCACATGAGTTTTGATGACACTGGCTTTTGTAGAAGTTTACAGGTGACAAGTACTTGCCACAAAACCTCTTTAATGATTTACTTAATTTTTCTCAGTTTGACCCCCTTTAAATTTACATGCTCTTTCATATAATTTGGTGACAACCTTATGAGTTTTTTTTTTATGATCTTTTTCCCATGATGTTTAAATATATATTAGACATTGGGAAATGTATAATGTTTTAGTCCTATTCAGTGGAAATTGCACTATATTATTAACCTTTTACCATGTAGATGAAATATTTGGAGCTATTTCAATGTCCGTTCAAGCCAACAAAAGAAAGCGTTATGAACAAAGAGTGTTGCTAATGAGACGGCTCAAATTAGCATTAGGAAGCAATGTACGGAACTTTTAAACTACAAAGACACATATGTTAGAATAAAGGCCCAACGCTAGAGGGGGGGTAAATAGCGTTTAAAACAAAATCGCAGGAAATTAAAAACGAGTGCGTTAAAGTAAAGAGCGTAAGGAAGGAGCAAACCGAGTTTTATCCTGGTTCACCACAACGTGTGGCTAATCCAGCCCCCTGAGAGACTCTCTCGAGCTACACTAACTCCGTTAAGCTTAAGGGTGCTTAACAAACCGATACAACTTGAGAACCTGAGTCACACAAGCCTCAACACCTTTGCTCGGAGATACCGCACTCCAAGACTTCTCACGAAGGAACAAGGAACTTCCTTCGAGTTTTCAACAAGGGAACAACCTCCCTTAAAGTGTATGAAAACACTTAAACACTCAGGAATAAAACTCTCACAAAGAGTAGATATGAGTGAACTAGTAAACGCTCAAGAACACGACAATTTCTTCAAGAATTGGCTCTCAAATAGCTAAGAAAAAATAGGAATGCTTATGCAATGAAAGAGTATTGAAATGTTGAAGAATTGTATTTTAAATGAGAGGATTTGGGTTCCATTTTATAGCCCAAAATGGGATAAACCCGTTGCTAGAATTTCCAACAGGATGAAGACAAATTTTTCAGGGACACAGGCTGATAGTCGATTGTCAAAGCATGATAATCGATTATCCAAAGATTCCTTGTCCAAAAATTTAAAATTCTATCCGTTGGAGGACAACGGTAACCCAGATAATCGATTGTCAACAAGTGGTAATCGATTATTGGTCCTCTCAGAAGATTCTGGGTTTTGGCTGCAAAGACTGATAATCGATTATTGCAAAGCTGATAATCGATTATTGCGTGCTTCAGAATTTTGGAAGTTCAAAGCTGCAGGGGCTGATAGTCGATTGTCACTAAGGTGATAATCGATTATCACCCAGCTAAACTCTAGCCAGCTGAAACCCGTTTTGAAAAACCGAGGTCCAAAAACGAAGTGTTCCCAAAAGTAAAAACCAGGTTTGGAAAATATTTTATATGGTATTAAATAGTGAAAACAAGACTTGTTTGGTAAAAACCAAGTCTCCAAGGTCGTATAATACGTACGTACGGTTTAGACCGTTTTTCACGAGTTAGTCCGATTGACCAAGATACAAAAGTGGTTTTTATAGAATAATTATTTGGGAACATTTTAAAAATGCTCAGAGGTAAAAACAGGGTTTAAAATATTGAAAACCACGGAGTTGGTTCGGGCGCCAAAAACCGAACGCCGAAAGCCGAACGTCGAAAGCCGAACGCCGACTTAGGTGGTTTTGGTTCTGAGCAAGGACCAGGGATTTTAACAATAAAAGAAATCATCAAAAATGTTTGTTTTTATGCACAAAAATATTTTCTGGTTTGTAAAAATTGTTTTGACTTTTTGAGAACCGAGACTTGAATATATTGTCGGTTTTGATCACAAAAGACCGACTCGACTAAGTCTTCAATTCCTGATCTTGTCCTTGAGTCTTTTAGGTCTTGTTCCAAGCCATTCTTCACGCCTTGAGTTATTCAACGAAACTCTTTATATCCACGGCGGTTTGACAATTATCAAAACCTGTCAGAAATGAACACGACTTTAGTTTATCGTACAAAGCGTGTTCCAACAATTTCCCCCTTTTTGATAATGGCAAACAAGACGAGGATATGCATAGGGTTTTGATCTTTTTGAAAAAAATTCTTCCTTTAAAAAAAATTCCCCCTTAATATATGCATAGCCCTTATCTTCCCCCTTTTGACATTAACAAAAAGATTGTTAACAACAAAAATCATAAAGATTTTTATTAATTATTTAAGGGAAATAACGGAGTACATAACGAAAGCATATTAAAGAATGATAAAATAAGGAAGAGAAGAAAGTAGAGCTAGAGCTCTAGAAATCCGGGGAAAGATCATTGAGAAGTTGTTCTTCGTCAATGTCTTCTTCTTCTTCTTCATCTTCATCGCCATCATCATTATCATCATCATCTTCTTCTTCTTCTTCTTCTTCCTCTTCCTCATCGTCCACCTCGTCATCTCTACCAACGTTTTGAGTCCCACTTTGTTCACCTCCGAAATTCGGTGAAGGAACGTAAGGGACCATTTGAGCGTACGGGTAATTGACAAAGTCAAAATACCCATGAAGTTCACGACTCAAGGTATTGACGTTGTGTGCCGTTTTAGAGACGTTCGTGTCAATTCGAGAGAGAGTGGCGGTTAAGACTGCCATTTGCTCGGTGAGAGAAGGATTGGTCGAAGTGGTGGCGGCTGAGGCAGTGGCTCTCGGTTGGCGGCATGGACGAGGCTGTCGGAACGGAGTCTCGTCGGTGCCCGAGTGGAAAGAGGATTCATCAATCTCCCAATGCTTTGTCCCCTTTATCTTTGGCCCAACATCGGTTTTGATGTTATATTCTTCAAGAATCGCCATGACAAAGAGGGCGTAGGGGAGCGGCTGATTGTCAGAGGTGGCCGTGAACATGTGAGTCATCACAAATTTACACCAATTGAGATTGGCGTTGTGAATCATTGCATGAATTGTCTTCGTGTCCTCCTGGGAGAGAGTGGTGTGATTGAACTTCCTGGGCTTGAGAATTCGTGTCAAAACATAAAAAATGAATCGAAACACGGGGCTCATGGAAGCAATCATAGGGCGCCGCTGTTGGGGAGTGGGTACGAAGTGTCGGATGCCCACTTCCTCCAAGAGAGCGGTCTCGTTGAACCGTGCTCCTTCTTCTCCGACGTAGAGCCCGAGATCCTGTCCATCCCGACGAAGCCCGGTGAGGATTTGAATGTTCTTCTCATTCAAATAGATGTCCACCCCGTTGACGTTAGAGATCAATGCTCCGTCCTCATCCTTTTTCAAGTTCGAGTAGAAAGCTCGAACAAGAGAGGGGTGATAATTGACCTTCTTGATGTAGAGGAGGTCGAGGAAGTTTCCACGTTCGAGGATGACCCGTGCCTCACGTGGAATGGAATCATGAATGAAGCGGGCTGTGGAGAATCGGGGAGGGAGAATCTCTCGGTGCTCAAATTTCTCCGAGAACCATGTCGCCTCTGCGTGGTCGTTGAACCAAAGGAACGACCCGTCGAGGTACTTGTGCGCCGGTGGTGGAGGAGCCGAGGAAGAAACCACGTTCTTGCCGGTGCGGGATCTTTTTCTTTGACCTCCTGCCGTTTCAACAAAGTAGAGAGGGAGTAGAGAAAGATTGCAGATAATTTGGCTAAGAGTTGAATAACAACAGCAAGAATGATAAATTATGATGAATATATGGAGAAAGTATGATTTGAGTGAGTATAAAATGAATAGAGATCACCAATTTATAAGGGAGTGGGCTGGAGATCCGTTGGGGAGTTCAAAACATGCATTAACTGCTCTCCAAACGTCTCTGCAACGGTCAGATTTTTGAAAAATCGCTGTTGATAATCGATTTACACTCCCTGTAAATCGATTATCTGAGTCTTCAGATTCTCCGCCAAAGAAACTGCAGGCTTCAATAATCGATTTCTGCCTGGTTGTAAATCGATTGTTGTAGTTTGCGCCTGAGTTGCCTTTAACTTCTGCAGGCTTAAATAATCGATTATCTTATAGTTGATAATCGATTGTTGCTGGTTTGCGCCTGACTTTTGAGAAAGTTTTGCAGCCCCTGATAATCGATTATCTTAATGCTGATAATCGATTGTTGGCTCCTTCAGTTTCTTTGCTCCAACTCCTGGGGGTTGTGATAGTCGATTATCACAAGCCTGTAAATCGATTTACACTAGGTCTGGAGACAAAAAGTCGATTTGCTTTGTTCCCCCTGACTTTGACACCTGAAAATAAAATTAAAAAAGAGCCCTGCAAAAAAGAATTAAAAACGTCTCCGACGTTCAAGTTAGTAGGGACCAAAAATAATAATTAATGCACAATTTAGATCATCGTGGAGTCAAGGATTCCAAGTTCACTACGAATGCGGAAGAACGACTCTTTCTCTAAAGGTTTTGTGAAAATGTCGGCTAATTGGTTGTGTGTTTCAACGAACTCAATTTCGACATCACCTTTGAGAACATGATCTCTAATGAAATGATGCCTAATGTCAATATGTTTCGTCCTTGAGTGAAGAACCGGATTCTTCGTCAAGCTTATGGCACTAGTATTATCACATCGAAGAGGGACGTGATCGATACTAAGGCCATAATCCACAAGTTGTTGCTTC